GGAAGATGCAGCTGATGAGGTGGTGGCAGACATCATATATCAGGAGTGCGGAGCTGCTGAGGGCGTGGCTGATCAGGTAGATGCTGAAGAGGCTGCAGATCAGGGATCTCCTACTGGCGTTTCGGAGTAGTCGAAGACTCATTTATTTCTTTTCAGCTTTTATAGTATGCTCTTGTTTAGAATAATTGGTCTTGTTTGATCATCTTCTTTTTGTTTGAACTTGGCCGGTTGGTCACTTTGCTATGGAAATTTCAGTCTATTTCTTCACTTCAACTTGCAAATTGATCTGTAAACAGCTTGAGTAACCAGCTTGTGTCTTGATTGCACATCTCCCTTTGGAGATTCATGAGTGCCAGGGTCCCCCTTGAAGGACTCCGGGCGTGTTCTGCATATCCCTTAGGATAGCTTCCCTTAGGAAGTTGGCGAGTGCTAGGGCCCCCCTTAAGGGGCTCTGGGCATGTTCTGCACATCCCTTAGGACGCTGCTTATGGGCAACTGTGTGACTATCATGCATCTCTTAAGAAACAGATAGGAACCTATATACTTCCTGCAGAAGGCATGGAGACCTCATTTTAAGAAATTCCTGGTGCACCCAGCGTCTCTCTTAGGACGTTTTTTTTTACGGATTTCATCTCCCGAAGGACGCTTCTTGTTGTCTCCTTGTGTCTCCCTTAGGACGCTACTTATGGAAAACTGTATGACTATCCTGCCTCCCTTAGGAAACGGATAAGAACCTGGATACTTCTAGTAGGAGGCATGGAGATCTCTTTTTAAGAAATTCCTGGCGCACCATGCGTCTCCCTTATGATGCTTTTGGTCGTCACCCTGCGTCTCCCTTAGGATGCTACTTATGGGCAACTTGTATGACTATCCTGCTTCCCTTAAGAAACGGATAGAAACCTGGATACTTCCCGCAGAATGCATGTAGACCTCCTTTTAAGAAATTCCTGGCGCACCATGCATCTCCCTTAGGACGCTTTTTTAGCAGGCTGCGTCTCCAAACAGACTTTTTTTGTCGTCGCCCTGCGTCTCCCTTAGGACGCTCCTTATAGGCAACTGTATAACTATCCTGCCTCTTTAGGGAATAGATAGGAACCTGAATACCTCCCTTAGGAAATTCCTAGCGCACCCTGTGTCTCCCTTAAGACGCTTCTTTGCCGGCTACGTCTCCCTAAGGACGCTTCTGGTTGTCACCCTGCGTCTCCCTTAGGACGCTCATTATGAGCGACTATTTTACGGTGACCTGCCTACCAATGAACTGTAAGCCATTGTCGGTAATCAGCAATTGTGGGCGTCCAAACTGGCAGATGATGTTTCTCTAGATGAATTGCTCCACATTGGCTTCTGTAATAGAGGATAGAGCTTTGGCCTCAGTCCATTTAGTAAAGTAGTCGGTGGCGATGATCATCATTTCTTTCTTGGCAGGCGCCGATGGCAAGGGACCCACTAAGTCGATGACCCATTGCATGAATGGCCATGGACTGTTTTGCGGATGGTAGACTTCGGCAGGAAGGTTAGGGATCAGCTTGTATCACTGGCAACGATTAAACTTTTTGACATATTCAACGAAGTCGTGGCGCATGGTAGTCCAAAAATAACCTATGTTTAGAGCCTTCTGGGAGAGTGACCTGCCCCCAGAGTGGTTGCCACACTCGCCGTCGCGAATTTTGCAGAGGATCTCAAGTGTTTAAGGGTATTTTATGCAAGTGAGATGAGGGCCGGAGTATGATCTGCGAATGAGCTTGTCGCCTTGCATGTAATACCTCGCGACTTTCTGTTGGACCTTCCTAGCTTCGGACTTATCTGTTTGGCAGATTTCCATTCACTAAGTAGTCGATGATGGGGTCTTGCCAGCTGGGGTCCTCATCAATCTGCATTGAGTCGATTGGCTCCATTTCTTCGATGCTTAGCGGGTCAAGGTGTTCAACTGGGATGAAGCGTCTGAACTGGGTGTCCAGTGCTAATCATAGGCTCGCCAATGCATCTGCATGAGTGTTCTCTGCTCGTGGAACCTGTTAGATGGTGAAAGTAGAGAATTCTTTCAAAAGTCCTTGGACTTTTTTGAGGGATTGGACCTTTCTTGGATGCTTTGCCACGTACTCACCAATCTCTTGATCGACAGTTCTTTTGCTAGGCGCAGTCCTGCAAGTAATGCTTCATATTCTGCCTTGTTGTTTGAAGCAGAAAAGCCTAGTGTGATAACTTGTTCCAACAAGGTTTCGTCTGGGGTGATTATGACGACTCCTGCTCCTACTCCTTTGTGATTTGATGCTCCGTCTACATGCAATTGCCATATGTCGTTAGGTAGGTTCGAATTGGCGGGGGAGGTGTCGTCTGTTTCCTTGCTTTTCGTGACCATCTTCTCTTCTTCGGCTGTTGGAGTAAACTCTACAACAAAATATGCTAAAGCTTGGGTTTTTATAGTAGTCTTCGGCCGGTAGAGGAGGTCGTATTGACTGAGTTTGATAGCCCATTTCATGAGTCATTGAGAAGCGTCGGGGCTGTGAAGGATCGATCCCAAAGGAAGTTCTGTTATGACAATAATCCGGTGTGCTTGATTGTAGGACCTTAGTTTTCTCGCAGAAACCAAAAGCGAAAAAAAGAGCTTCTCTATTTTCGGATAGCGAGTCTCTGCATCGAGGAGAGCTTTTGAAGTGTAGAATACTGGATGTTGTGCCCCTAGCTCTTCTCAGATGAGAGCTGAGCTAACAGCTGAGTCGATCACCGCCAGGTAGATGTATAAGTCTTCGCATGGTATCGGTTTAGAGAGTAATAGAGGTGAAGTGAGGTAAGTTTTCAAGCTGTGAAAAGCTACTTCACACTCGTCATCCCACTTGTCTTTGTGTCCCTTCTTCAAGGCTTTGAAAAATGGTCTGCACTTGTCGGTAGATCTTGAAAGGAATCGGTTGATTGCTGCCGCCCTACCCGTTAGACTCTGTATCTCTTTTGTTGTGGCAGGTAACTTCATGTTGAGTATAACCTTGATTTGATTTGGATGTGCCTCAATTCCTCTTTGGGTGACTAAGTATCCAAGGAATCGGCCGGACGAGACTCCAAATGTGCATTTGCTCGGGTTCAACTTCATGTTGTATTTTCAAAGTAGGTTGAATGCCTCAGCAAGATTCTCGATGTGGTCTGCTCGTTTGGGAGCTTTGACTAGCATGTTATCTACGTAGACCTTCATAGTCTTGCCGAATTGCTCATTGAAAATTTTGTTCACCAGCCTTTGGTCGGTTGCTCTGGCGTTCTTCAATCCAAAGGGCATGACTTTGTAGCAATATGTACAGATTCGATGAGGAAAAAGGTCTTTGCGTTGTCGTCTTCGTGCATCATGATTTGGTTGTAGCTGAAGTAATCGTCCATGAAGCTTAGCAGTTGATTGCCGAAAGTTGAATCGACGAGCTGATCAATTCTTGGCAGTGGAAAGTTGTCTTTAGGGCATGCCTTGTTGAGGTTGGTGTAGTCGACGCACACTCTCCACATGCCTTTATCTTTCTTCGCTACTAGAACAACGTTCGCCAGCCATTATGCGTAGGAGACTTCTTCAATAACACCGGTAGCTAGAAGCTTGTCGATCTAGGCTTCAATAATGGCAACCCGCTCAGGGGCGAAATTGCATCTTTTCTGCGCTACAGGCTTGATAGCTGGGTTGATGTGCAAGCGATGGCAGATGATCTGGGGATCGATGCCAGGCATGTCGGATGGTGACCATGCAAATACGTCTTTGTTGTTCTGGAGGAAGGCTACAAGCTTTGCCTTTTCCTCCTGGCTTGTCAGGATCAAAGGGTACTAGCTCAACATCCTCCTCGGGCTTCCATCCTTCTTCAGGAGAGTCCTCCGGACGGATTCCCTCGACTTGGTCTTGATTCTTTGATTGCTATTGGGGAGTAGTTATTCCCTTTCTTTTTTGGTATGCTCGGCCGTCAGGAACGAGATCTGCTTTCTCCTTTGCTTGTTTCACTCCCTTTAAAACTGCCTGATTCACAGGGAGGAACTGTGTTTGCTTGCCTTTTTTCAGCCCTTGAGCTGAGCATTTCCTCGCCATTACTTGATCACTATTGATTTGACCGATACCGCCCCCAGGGATTGGGTAGCGAATCTTTTGATGTGTGGCGGAGGTGACGGCGTTGATCTTGCTGATCCATGGTCTGCCCAAAATGCCATTGTAGGGTGAGGCTTCATCAATGACCATAAACGTTTGCGAGCTGATTACTGGTGGGGAGTAGATGTCGAGATCTATTGTCCCCACGGTAACCGTTGTTGCGCCGTTGAAGCCAGTTAGCGACTTGGCTGATTTATTGATCTTTGTCTCTAAACCCATCTGTTGGATGACTGCCAATTGTAAGATGTTGGTTGCACTGCCCTCGTCTGCATGGATTCGGTCGACCATGACCTGAGCAATTTGAATGCTGATGACAAGGGCGTCGTTATGTGGCACTTCGAGGCCGGATTAGATCTTTCTTTTGGAAGTTGATTACAGGATTGTCTTCTGTTAGCGGAAGGTCGGTCGAGACTTGGGAGATCATAGTGGCCGGTTTGATCTTCCTATTCTTTTTCATGCTAGTCAGCCTAGATTCCTCGGAGTCGGCAAGGATTGTGTTAATCCTTATGACTTTTTGGGGTGGCTCCTTGGCGGTGTCAAGATCTTCAATCCGCTGGATGGCCTGCTTCGCAATGAATTCCGTGTAGTGACCTTCTCTCACGAGTTCTTCAAGGTGTGCTTTCCAAGCGAACCAGTTGTTCGTAGTGTGTCCATGCGTCCCATGAAAGGCACAATATTTGCTAGTATCCCTCTTGTCCTAATCTTCTTTCAAGGGTGGCGGTCTTCTTACACAAGGTTTGTTTTTCACTTGGGCTAGGATTTGATGTATAGGGACGGTGAACTTGGTGTAGTTCTCTCCTGCCTTAGCGTTTCCTTGTGGGTGTGACCTGCGCTTGTCCTTATTCTTGTTGCTAAATCCATCGCTTCTTTGACCTGCCCGTTTAGCCGACTGATCTTCCTACTTCGTAGACTTCTTTGCGGCGATTCGATCGTCATCCCAGAGCGCGTAGTGTTCCGCAGTCGCGTAGACCTCTGCTAGAGTCTGGCTGGGAGTGATAGTCAGCTCGCAGTACAAGTCGTGTTTAGTCGGAAGACCTTTCTTGAAGGCAGATGCAGCGATCCAGTCATCACATCCTACAATGTTGGCCTTTTCTGCTTTGAATCTCTTGATGTAATCTCGAAGGGATTCGTCGGACTTTTTGCGCAGGTTGTACAGGTGGTCAGTGTTCTTCTTGATCGTCCGGTAAGAGGTGTACTCTTTGGTGAAGACGTAAGCCAATTCCTTGAAGCTGCTGATCGACCCGGATGGTAGGGTGTGAAACCAGTCTTGAACTGCTCCTCGCAAGGTCATTGCAAACACCTTGCACATCAGTGCATCGTTGGCATTGTGGAGGATCATGACACTTCTGAAGTGTTTTAGGTGGCTCTTGGGATCGAAATCCCCTTTGAAATGTGTAAACGAAGGCGTTGAGAATCGCTTCGGGGGAACAGCCTACTCGATTTCAGGGGTGAAAGGAGTAGAGATTGCTTGGTCCATCTCTTTACGTAGTGCATCCTCGAGGTTCCTGCCAGTCTTCAAGTCTCGAAGTCGGTCATTCACAAGCTCAACGTCTTCCGTACACATTGCTGGTCGATCACGTTGGCGACCTTCACGATTCGGGCGACGTTGATTGACCTCCTCGTTGGTCTGCGAGGGTCGACCCTCTCGTCTGTGCTGCCTAGAAGGCGTGTTGGTAGACTACGCTTGTGAGGGATTTTCTGTAGCTTGACGACCAGAATTGGTTCTCCAAGAGCGGGCAGTGGAGTGCCTTTCTTCTCGGTCCTCACTGTGAGGGTTACGAGGTTGACCTCCCTTGAGGCCTAACCTTTCGTGAATATTTCTCTGCGAGCCGGCAGCGAAGCGCCTCTCTTCACGATCCTCATTATGGCTATTGTCAATTTGACCTCCCTGGGAGCCTAGCCTTTCATGAACATTTCCTTGCGGACCCAGGCGAGCGCGGACGTCAAGTCGTGGGCCAAGCCTTTCTCGCAAGTTGCTTTGTGTGTGGCTTGCAGATGCTTGTGACATGCCGGCAAGCTGATCACGTTGTTGTCCATCTCTTTAGTGTTCACATAAGATGGCTATGTGCACTATTATAGGCAGAGAGAGGACCCATTTCCTAGTGAAGCCCATAATCAATTACCACCCATCACGGTAATAAAATAGGAAACTACTTCTCTTTATTTGACCAATATAATTATTCTGAATAATATTTATTAAACCAATTAAACAATTTATTTATCACATAAGTCATTTCATGTGGGACACACATAATATTTATAAAATATTCTTACATTCTCCCACTTGGCCCATATGATAAATTTACTTTATGGTTCAATAAATAAACATTAGGCGCGCGATACATTCAGAATAATCCTCACTTTCATATGATCGACATAAATACCGCATTTAAGCAATTGTCTAATGCGAGTCATGGTGGTTATGCATCAATAAGCGATACAATCCCTTCCATGTACCACAACATTAGCAAATCACCTAAAACAGTCCATAAGTGAGAGGTATCATAAAAGGTCCAATAATGTCTTTGTCAGAGAGGACTCCTGTTACCATTCATCCATTCTCATTCATGTATACATATAAGGGAAAACTGGATATAACAGAAACATATTCAATTATTGAGCTCAGAGTATCAAAATAAATAAACTGTCATTGTGCAACCCACAACATAAATACTATCATGGTCTATGACCAAGAACAGTCCTCCCAACATAACTATTAATGTCTTTTGCCAGAACCTTTTTACTTGGTTTGCAAGCATAAGTTTTGTCTTTATAGACACTCTTTGTTTCTGAACCTCCTTAATGACAAAGTATTTAATTCCACTATGTTTAGCACTCATAGAACACTTGTCATTTTTGGAGAAAAGGACAATTGCGGTATCAACATGAATTCTTAGCGGCGTGGCAATAAAACATAAACACCAAGTCCTAAGATTAAAACCCACAACACTACTAAAAAAACTGAAAAAGACGACCAGAAAAACACGACGGTCTAAGTGAAAACCGTCATTGTTTTTTAAAAGATGACGGTTTTATAAAACCGCCGTGTAATAACACCTTAGACAACTAAAAAATGGAGATTCAAATGGCTGTTCCTAAAACACGACGTACTTAATTAAAAAACCAAT